CTTCATGTGTTGTTCCGAGTCACTCGACTGAGAGGGAACGTATTGTAGCTGCAGCTTTTACTTAAGGCAACCACAGAGGCCCCAGTGGTATACAAAAGCTGACAGGTTTTGTGTGCAGATCAGTAAGAAAACAAAAATCAGTGTTTGAGGGAAAAAAATGTGATATGGATTAATTATGAGATATCAAAGCAGTGTTATTTACTGGGTTTTCTAGTCTGTTTTTAATGTCAGTAACTAAAATAAAAGGATGTCCTTTAAAGCAGGCTGCAGCCTCCAAATGGGTTTTTACTCCTCTTGGTCCTTTGTTTATTAGGTCGCAAAGTGATGACTTCTCTGCCGTTGCTGGAGCTCTGGTTGTTGACGTTACTACTAATTGTATTGAAGACACCTTTAGGGGAAATATGTATATATATATATCAGTGGTGCACCCCCACTAAAGAATCTGCTTTAAATAAAGTCTGATATGGAAAATATTCCTACCTATTTTATTGCTTGTTGTGTGGACCACCTCTGTTTCCTCAGCCGTTTGCTGTTTGAGTCTTTGAAGATACTTCTCAGCTAAGTACTTAAAAACTGCAAAATAATAAAAATCATTAGTGAATGAATTAATTTTACTTGTCCCTGATGAATTTGTATTTCTCACCTTCATTAACATTAAGATCCTCTTTCACTGAAGCTCGATAAAACCTCAGCTTCAGTCTTTTAGCCAAAGCTTCTGCCTCTTCGCTGGAAAACGAGCACAGACAGAAAACTATTTCCAGAAACTCTTCGTGCTGTTCTTTCATTAAACTCACATTTTTCCCCCCCCACGTTTAAGTTGCTTTACCGCTATTCCAGAGAATCCTTACTTTTTTATTACGGTCTCTTCCAGGAGATCGATTTTGTTTTGCACCAGAACTGTGGGGATGTCCCCGACCTCTGCTTCCACCTTCTCCCTCCAGCTGTCGATAGCCTGAAAAGACTCCCTGTCTGTTGTAGAGAAGACTAACACACAGGCCTGGGCACCTAGAAAAGGAAGAACGCACACCAACAATTCAGGTTTTTAACGATCTCCTGAATTTATCAACGTAAAATATTTTAAAACACTTTTAAAATTGTAACGGTATCTGTGTGAATAACGAAACACTTTTCCTGAGCTGATAGGCTGTTTGCTAGTGTTTTATTTATTACGATGACCTTACTTACCTCTGTAGTAAGCCTTGGTAATGGCATCAAACTCCTCCTGCCCCGCCGTGTCCCACAGCATTAGTCGAACCTCTTCATTGACGCTACAGCAGTAAACAAGTAACAAGGAAGGTCTAACTTTAAATTAATCAAACAGCAACGTATCAGTCCTAACAAATCACATTCAAATGTTATATGTTTATAAAGAAATGACTAGTTTCAAATGAGGGCGTTCATTGAGAATTCGTAAAAAACATGATAGAAAATACACAATCAAACAAAAAGCCTGTGTCGTTAACCACAATGACTTCCAAGTATAAATGACAAAATAAACAAAAAGTTTCCGGTTAATCAGTTGCTTACACAATCTGCCTTTCTAGGAAGTCCACTCCGATTGTCTTTTTGTAGTCCTTAGTGAAAATGCCCTTGCAGTACCGCTGGATCATACTGGACTTGCCAACAGCACCGTTTCCGACCACGACCACCTTGATGGCCACCTCCATGTCCTCCTCCAACATAGTGGCCGCTTTTCTTAGCTGCTCTCGGTCGTTTCAGCAAACAGATACCAGCTGTAGGTGTCGAGCAAAACGTTTCAAAGTAAAACACGTTTCATTCATTTTCATATACTGTACTCCCCAAATGTTAAATTACCCAAAAACAACTGCAACACTCATTTTAAGACGTAAAATTAAAAACCTTTAAGTTTTAAAGCTTGTCACTTTCAACATCATTACTCACCCACTCGTTGGGACCAAATGGCTCCTCGTCCTCAAGAGCTGTAATTATCTATTGACCCAACATTTATGCACACTAAAATAAATGTTTTACAGGGAGTCAGACTGTGGCAGCATGTTTACTCTTCCATTAACACAGAAACAAGCAAACTCCACATGGCAACTAGGAGCTATTTGTGTAAAGCGACTGACCAAACAACATATTGTTGCAAAGCTGTTGTCGTTGGACTCTGACAACCTGCTGCGTCACCGTGCTGTCCAACAGGCTGACTGGATTTGAATGACAATATGTGTGGCAGCAGAGATTAATATTAGTCATCAACTATAATTAGGCTGATTCATTCATCGGGCGCGATAGCATGCAGTCAGAACATTGTTAAAATAAAACAGCATGCACTGTTTATACCAAAACGTACTTATAATACAGCTTTTATGTCAACTACCACTTTAGCTGATCAAGTTCGGTGAAAAAAATAAAATGAAAATCAGGATCTTCTCCTTTTCTTGGATTCTGATTCTGCTTCCAGAAATGCAACGTAGTTAATTTGTTTTAGGGTTAAAGAAACTTATTTTAGCGTATCGTTTAGCGTATATCTTAAATCTTTATATACTATTCTGATGCCCGCTCTTTATAACTTTCTTTTTATGCTTTATAGTTTTGCTATCTTTGGGTATAACTTGGACCTTGAGTAGACAATTTTGTTCCACCTCATGTACCACATGTGATGTGAACGACAATAAAGAACCTTGAACCTAAGTAAGGGGTTTAATTTTTACCTTGCAACCATAAAAACAACTAAACTTCAGTGTAAATGAATCATTTACATTATCACAATTTAAACATGTCTTATGAATTACATTTTAACTCAAAGCACGTGAAATTAAGAGTTCTTGCACAACCATTTCTAAAGTTAAAAAGAAAAAAATGCTACTTTTGTGGAACTGCAACGTTAGTTTTGCAGGCACATCTTTCATTCTATAATAATGCCACAACCCTGTCTATGTTAGGTTAAAAACTTAAGAGATAATCTGTAAATGGCACCAAGTTGAATTAAATTATTAAATGAGACACATCTCCTGCGACACCTTAAGTCATGATCTTCACGGTTCAGGCCTTGAGACCATATGGTTAAAAACCTAAGACTTGGGCACAGAATAAGCCCTAAATATTGTATAACACTGTAAAGTCAGACCTATAACAGGGTGTGATATGTTGAAGGTCTCAAGGTCCACTTTTCAGAGTAATGTCCTCCCAAAGAAGCTCCCAGCCTCGCCTGGGTCAAGAACCTGTTGAATAGCGGCTGACAGGAGCAGCTGTCGAGGTGTCCGCTATCTGACGCATTACTGGACTGCATGAATGAAACACCAAATGTACCAAAGCGTTTTATTTCTTACCTGCTAAGCTTCGTTACAACTTATCCTCGGACATCAGATCAGCTAAGCGACCAGCTAACCCACGATGGCATGTGTACATCCTCCCTCTCTGCTCCTCTCCGTGACCAGTGGAGACGCCAGACTACAATGCTATGGCTAAGTTAGCCACTTTCCCCCGAGAAAGCTCTGCACTTTTATGATTTATTTCAAATGAATGCTTACACACACTCACTTCGCCTTTACAATACTAGATTAAAGCTTTAGTTCACGTCTAGAACGAAATAAAAATCCAACCGCATTGGACGTATGCAAAGGAATTGCTATCTTTCTACAAGCTAAAGCTAAAGCTCCGATGTTGAGACCGAAGAGTGGCTAACTAGGCAACTACAGCTAACTCGCTAACGCTTGTTGCTAAGCAGCAGAGCAGGGGCTCGCATGGTTAGGGCAATCCGTTGTAGCATGTAAATAAAACACTTCGATATCCAGAAGATTTATTCACAATCAACATTTTGAGTATATCAAACATTTTCTACATAGGACAAAAAAAACAAACCATTCTGTTATATTCATGTGTACATGTAGTTCAACTGCAAGTATTTACAGCTCCATTTTTCTAAAATAATTAATGTGGATATCTGAAACAAAAATGTTACTAGGAAAAAAAAAATCAAATATAGCATCTACAAAATAGATAAGTAGAAGTAGTAATTATATAAATATAGACACATCTCATAATTCTTAGTAAACACGTTTATTGGCTATACAAATTGGCATGTATGAAACTCATAGAAGTTTATTTCACATATCCATTATGTTTATTATAGATAGGAAGAACGTATTTATGGATATCTAAAACATTAATTCAATCTTTATTTAGACATAACGTAAAGCCATTCACACATATCCAGATGCATGCTCAATAATCCAGGTAGACGAATCTAGCAAAGTTAAATCAAGCCCTCTGGACAGATTAAAAATAAATAAATAAATAAATAAATAAATAAATAAATAAATAAATAAATAAATAAATAA